GCCCCGGATGCTGGGGTTTGAATTCCAGTTCTCTTCAAGAATGGCCAGTGCTCTTAACCACTGGGCCATCTCTCCAGCCACAAAAGTACTATTCTTGAGCCGGGAGATGTGGGGCACACCTGTGACCCCAGGTTCACTCAGGTACTGATCCAGGAGGGTGACAAGCTCATGGGCAAGGTTACAAATCACATTGGGGCAGGCTGGGCTTCACAGAAGGGTTTTGTTTGGGGGGCTGGGGAGATAACTGGGGTGGTAAAGTGCTTGCTGCACAAGTGTTGTCTGTATTTTCTTGAGCCCCGTGCTGTCTTAATTTCTGTAATGCTATTATAAACCTTGAAATTGAGCATCGATTGTTTTGGTGAGAGGACCTTAACCTCATGACAATATTGCAAAGAGCTCAGGTTGATTTCGGTTGAAGATGTCCTTCCTGATGGGATTTGATTGGATTCACTTGAATTTATACAGTGAATAAATTGGGAAGAATTTTTAAAAATATTTTTTATTCAAGAATCTCATACAAGGTATTTTGATTGTATTCCAACTACTCTGTCCCCCCCTTACGACCCCTCCCACTTCTTATGTCCTCCATTTTTATTATCTTCCCTATCACAGTAGCCTAAAAAAACATAATATCTTGGAATAAATTGAACCAAGGAAGTAAAGGACTTATATACTAAAAATTTAAAGACATTGAAGAAAGAAATTGAATAAGATACCAGAATATGGAATGGCCTCCCATGCTCATGACTCAGTAGGATTAACACTGTGAAAATGGTTGTCCCTACAGATTGAGTCCAATCCCCATTAACATTCCAACACAATCCACAGAAATTTAAGATAAAATCTCAAATTTCATAAGGAAACACAAAAATCCCAGGATAGCCAAAACAATCCTGAACAATAAAAGAAATGCTAGAGGTCTTACCATCCCTGATTTCAAATTATATACAGAGCTGTAGCAATGAAAACAGCATGGTTCTGGCATGAAAATAGACACACTGATCACTGGAATAGAATTAAGGAGCTAGATTTAAGCTGACCCAATTACAGTCACCTGATCTTTGGAGAAAAGACAGCATGTTCAACAAATAGTGCTGGTCAAATTGGACAGCTGTATGTGGAAGAATGAAACTAGATCCCTATTTCTCACCATGCACAAATCTCAACTCCAAGTGTATCAAGGACCTCAACATAAGACCTGATACTTTGAATCTGATAGCGGAGAAAGTAGGGAATACACTGGAACTTTTAGGTACAGCAAAGAAGTTTCTGAACAGGACCCTGTAAGTGCATCTCTCAACTCTGACCAGGGAAGATTCTTCTTGCAGCAGATGGCGATCAACACAGAGATTCACAAATAGTCAACGTGCAGAGAATTCGAGGATTAGAGACTGCAGAGTGTTCAGCCCTAAATGGCACCTATATCACACACTCTCCTCCCAAGGCTCAGGGATCATTGTAGAAGAGGGGACTGAAAGATGTAAGAGCCAGAGGCAGTAGGTAAATACAAGGAATCTGTTGTCTGGACACCACAGGGTAGTTGCACATACGAATCCACAGCACTTATGACGACATGCGCACGATCTGTGCAAACCCAAACCAGACAGGAGTGCATTGTGGGCGGGGAGGTAGACAGGAAGTGCCAGGCCCAGCTGAGAATCTGTTGACACCTGATGGATGCTGGGAGAGGGCAAGTCCATTTTGCTTACTGGTGTGATACCTGGTAGGTTGACCAGACTTCAACAGACAGACTCAGACCCCAGAGCACTTGGGAAACAGATTAGACTTGATAGGTCTTTAAAAACAGAAGCTGACCTCATTATGGTGGATGATCCTTTTGATGTCTTCTTGTATTTGGTTTGTATTTTATTGAGAACTTTAGTGTCTATGTTCATCAGGGAGATTGGCCTATGCTTTCCTTTTTTTTATTGGGTCTTTGTCTGGTTTTGGCACTGGAGTAATACTGACTCATAGAAATAATTTGGACTGTTCCTTCCCTTTCTATTTTATGTAATAATTTGAAAGGTATTGGTATTAGTTCTTTGGAGGTTTGATGATTCTGTGCTGTGCCCATCTGATCCTGGGCGCTTTTTAGTTAGATTTTTGTTGTGTCTATCTTGCTGGTTGTTATGAGTCTATTTATTTGTTACTTTGATTTAACTTTTGTAGGTTGTGCCTATCTAGAAATTTATCCATTTCTTTTAGATTTTCCAGTTTATTGGAGATTTTTAAAATATATCCTTAATGGATTTCTGAATTTCCCTGGGGTCTAATGTAATGTTTCCCTTTTCATCTCAGAGTTTATTAATTTGGGTTCTCTCTCTTTTTCTTTTGTTTAACTTGACTAAAGGTCTGTCAATCTTATTAGTATTTTGAAAGAACCAAGTCTTCACTGATTCTTTGTAATATTTTCTTTGTTTCTATTTTATTAATTTCAGTCTTTATTTTATTTATCTCTTCCCTTCTTTTTAGGTGTTGTTATCATAACAATATTGAGTCATCCAATTCATGAACATACTATACCTTTCCATTTATTTTTAATTAAAAATTTTATCTTATTGTATGAGTGTTTTGCCTGCATGTATGTAACTGTGCCCATGCAATGCCCATGGAGGTCAGATCCCCTGGAACTGGAGTTAAGGGTGGTTGTTAGCTGCCACATGGGTGCTGAACACCAAACCTAGGTCCTCTATAAGAGCAGCCAGTGTTCTTAACTGCTAAACCACCTCTCCAGCTCTGTTTATTTTTAAAACATATTTATTTATTACTTTGTGTATGTATGTGTGTGTGTGTGTGTGTGTGTGTGTGTGTTGTATGTCTGTGTGTACGTGCCCATGCCATGACATGCTTCTGGAGGGCAGAGGACAACTTCAGGAAATAGTTCTCTCCTTCCACCGTGTGAGTCCTGGGGACCAAATTCAGGTGTCGGGCTTCATGGCAAATACCCTTATCAGCTGAACCATCTCGCTGACCTCTATCTTTCTATTTGTTAGATTGTCTTTGACTTATTTCATTAGCATTTCTGTAGTTCTCAGCATATACATTTTGCATGTATTTTCTATGTATACATAACTAAATCATACATTAATATCTGAGTTTTGGTGCTGGTGTACAGGCTGCTGTTTGATTTCTAATTGTTTACTTCCAATGCCTGATTCTGAACATGAACCTTCTACCTCATATCTTTTCTAAACTCAGATTTAAATTGAAACTGGATTTTCTAATAATTGTGTTATCTGTAAATATAGATTTTTTAAAAAACAGGGTCTCCCTATAGCCCCAGCTGACCTACAACTTGCTATGAAGACCAGGCTAGCCTCAAACTCTTAGAGATCCACCTGTCTATGCCTCCTGTGTGCTGGGATTAAAGGTGTGCGCCACCATGCCCAGACGTTTTTGTTTTTTATGTATCTGCTGTTCCTTCTTTTCTCATATTGTACTTGGTAGGAGCTCTGCTATAATTCTGAACAGGAAGAGGAAGTAGAGAGCTCTGCCTTATTTGTAATTTTAGGGAGAAAGTGTTTAGTCATTCATTACTGAGCATAAAACAAGCTGTGGGTTTTCATACAGCCAGTTACCAGGTGGAGAAGTTGCCTTCCAGCTACAATTTGCTGAGAGTTCTTATCACAAACAGATATGAAGTCATATAAAATGGTTTTTTGCATCTTTACATGATGATCATGTAATTTTTTCCTCTTTAGCCTATTGATAATTTTCTTCAGCCCATTGATGAGCTATATTGATTGATTTTCAAATGCAGGACTACCTTTTCATTTCCTGGATTAAGCTTTCTCGGTCATGATGAATTATCTTTCCTGTGCATTGAAAGGTTTGATTTGCTAGTATTTTGTTGACTATTTTTAGATCTGTATTCATAACGAATATTGACTGCACTTTTTTTCTTGTATTTGTTTGGTTTTTGTACCAGGGCGATGCCAGTTTCACAGAATGAGTTTGACAACGTTCTTTGCCTTCTAGCTTCTAGAAGAGTTTGGAATGCGTTTTACTTCTTTAACTATTTGGATCTAATTTGCCAACAAGGCAGTTAGAATTTATTGGCTAATGCTAACCTAATTTCTGTTTCTTTGATAGGAACAATACTATCCAGGTCACCAATTTCTTCAGTCTTTGACAACTTGTCTTTTAAGGAATTTGTTTAGAGCGTTTAAGTTGCAGACTCTGTGGACCTAGAGCTATTAGTGTGATATTCCATTTTTGATCCTTTCATTCTAAGATCTTAGTAATATTCTGTTTCCTTCCTGTATTTGGTGTGCGTGTGTGTGCGTGTGTGTGTGTGTGTGTTTCCTGATCAATCTGTCTAGAGACTTGTATTGCAGATCTACTGTTGTTTAACAAATTGCTCTAAAATTCAGCGGCCTGAAACAAGTACTTCTTACCTCCATCTGTTTGGTCAGGCATCTGGAGGGGTGCAGGCAGTTGGTTTGGATTCAGCATGCGTCATGAGGGTCAATCCCAGTGATTGGGTCTGTGGTTGTCAAGCGTTTGACTCGAGTCACAGGATCTGTTTACACGCTTACATCTGTGGTTGCTGACCGAGCTTCGTTTCTCCATCGTATGGATATGGCGAGGGAGCTGGTTTCACCTAAACTGACTGATCTAAGGGAGAAGGATGGAAGAGAGGGTCTGGGGCACGTATCTTTATGGCTTAATTTTGCACATGGAGTCCCGTTACTTCTGTGCATTATGCACCGTACACAGGCCAACCTCATATACAAGGGATCTACAAAGTTATGCACATCAGGAAATGAGGCTCACTGAGGCGACCATAGAAGACAGTCACCACAAAGCTGGTCAAGTTTTTGATCTGTTCTAAGAACCAGCATTGGTTTGGGGTTTTTTTTTTAGTCTATTTCTTCTTGCATTTACTGACTTCTGTTCTTTATCACTTCCTTCTGCCTCCTGCATCCTTACTGGCTCTTCTTTTTCTTCTCACCATGCTGAGCACAAAAAGACACAGCCATGTCTTTTGTCTTTTGCAGATAGATAAGTCTTACCGAGAAGATGTGTATGATCTCTTTCCTGGGACCTTCCAAACCATCGAGCTTTTCGCAGATCACCCGGGGACATGGCTCTTGCACTGTCACGTGTCTGACCACATCCATGCGGGCATGGAGACCACCTACACTGTCCTCCGGAACATAGGTATTGTCTGTCAGTGATGCCAGGTGATGGCACCAAGTTTCCTGTAGTCCTGGAGAACAGGAGGCATGAGAAAAACAGATACAACCCCCAAGGAGCTCAGAGTCAAGTATGAGAGACAGACATGTTGATATGCAACCACAATGGAGCATGACTTGTGCCACAACGGTGTGGAGTACAGAGTTCAGTGGCAAGAGGAGGTGGGCATGGTTAATAGTCTGGGGCATGAGCCAAAGCTTCGGAGTCTATGAGCTCAGGCAGGATCTTAGAGGATGAGACGCTGGGAAGGTGGAGGGGTAGGAAAGCTTGGTACCAGAGTCTATGAGCTCAGGCAGGATCTTAGAGGATGAGACGCTGGGAAGGTGGAGGGGTAGGAAAGCTTGGTACCAGAGTCTATGAGCTCAGGCAGGATCTTAGAGGATGAGACGCTGGGAAGGTGGAGGGGTAGGAAAGCTTGGTACCAGAGTCTATGAGCTCAGGCAGGATCTTAGAGGATGAGACGCTGGGAAGGTGGAGGGGTAGGAAAGCTTGGTACCAGAGTCTATGAGCTCAGGCAGGATCTTAGAGGATGAGACGCTGGGAAGGTGGAGGGGTAGGAAAGCTTGGTACCAGAGTCTATGAGCTCAGGCAGGATCTTAGAGGATGAGACGCTGGGAAGGTGGAGGGGTAGGAAAGCTTGGTACCAGAGTCTATGAGCTCAGGCAGGATCTTAGAGGATGAGACGCTGGGAAGGTGGAGGGGTAGGAAAGCTTGGTACCAGAGTCTATGAGCTCAGGCAGGATCTTAGAGGATGAGACGCTGGGAAGGTGGAGGGGTAGGAAAGCTTGGTACCAGAGTCTATGAGCTCAGGCAGGATCTTAGAGGATGAGACGCTGGGAAGGTGGAGGGGTAGGAAAGCTTGGTACCAGAGTCTATGAGCTCAGGCAGGATCTTAGAGGATGAGACGCTGGGAAGGTGGAGGGGTAGGACAGCTTGGTACTGAAGAATCCCAGGAAGATCCCGGGAAGGTGGCGGGTATGGGGGGAAAGGTAAAGTCCTTGCTGATGGAAAGACATGACTAGCATGTCCCATGAAAAGGATCTTCTTTGTTTATAAGCAACTCACCTTTGTTTTTCTAGACAACAGGGTTCCGTATTCTACCAGGTCCCCTTCTGGTGCAGCATCCAACCCGGCCACAGTGCCCTCCCAAGGTAACGGCATTGCCTCCTGAATCTTGTGTGGGAATGCCTCAGCGTTTCAGTGCTCAGGGGGAGGCGGGCACCTGATAATGTTTTTCTTTATCACAGAACAACCTAGCACAGAGAACCTCTATTTCTTTGGCAAGAATCTGCGTCCAAGAGGAGCCAAGGCAGCTCTGATCATCCTTTTCATCCTGGGACTCCTCCTCCTGGTCACCACTGTGATTCTCTCCCTCCGACTTTGCTCTGCAAGAAGGCAGATGGCTTACAGGGAGGTCCAGTCCTGCGCACTCCCCACGGATGCTCTGTGAGCTGCCTGGTCTTCCTCTGCAGAAAAGGGTCAGGTTCCACAGTTGGCTGGACAGTGGCAAACAGGGACACTGGATCAAGGCCATGCTCACCAAGGAAGGTTGACACTGGATCCTGGATCTGTGTTCTGAGCTGCTGAATGTCATTCAAAGCAATTTGCCTTTATTTATTTACTTTTTAATGGGCTGTGAATAATCCCCAGGTATAAAAAAAAATACAGAACAGGAGCATGCACTGGGTTGAGAAATGCCGACCATCAGTCTGTTCTATGAACAACTCACTCAAGTGGGACACCCTCTGAAAGATATTTTCATATTCCATTTTTTATAGTTTTAAATTAAATAGCACTCCCTTTAGCTAGCCACTAAAACTTGTAGGCGAACAATTTCCAGAAAGCAGTGCAGTGCCTCCGACATGTCTGCCTGGATCACACTGATTCTCAACACTTGCACAAAACGAACGGTTCCTGAAGTTGTTCCAGGGAAAACATTTTTGAGGAGTTCATGGGAACGTCCAAGGCAGTGTGTGCTGATGGGACTGGACCACATGAGTCTTTGGAGGCTTCGGCAGCACCCCTGGTCTTTCCCCCTTTAATATAAAGAGCCCATGCATCTTTTGTCATACAAGCCCAAGTTATACGGTGTTTTATTTAACTGCTGCTGTTTTTAATGCAACCTATCAAAATACTTGAATGTTTACAATTCACTTCATGTTACATCTTTTTACAATGTGTCTCCTTGGCAACCTATGTATTTTCAAACATCAACTGGAAAACTTTTATTTCAGAATGCGGAAGAGTTGTGAAGGAACAGGCTTGACTTTCTCACTGTGAGTCAGAGATTTCCTGTCTGGGCTAGAATCTTGAGTCTGATTTTTCATACAGTTAAGGGACATTTCCATATCTCCATCTTCCATGAAATAGTTTCATCACGCGAGAGATGGAAGGAGGAATTCGTCAGTGCAGCTGACTGGCTAGGAGGAAACATGATTTCTCAAAAGCCTGCATTCCATGCTTCTTAAAGAAATAGCCCTTGAGAGGAGGAGAAGGGGAAGAAAAAGGAAATGCTAGAAAAAGAGAGTCTCCACGGCAGCTTTTGAAACCATTAAATCAGCTCTGGAAGCAAGTATGCAGTTGCCAAGACTTACTTGCAAACCCAAAACGTTGAACAACTAAACTAAGGGCATGACACTAAGCACAGTCTCTGCAGGCATGCCTAGACATTAGATGTAAGATTGATAAAAGCAACATTGCTATGATTAGACTGGGAATCTACCTTAGTTCAGGGCAAGTTGTCTTGGGATGCTGTTGCCAGATGTGTGACATCAGACCACTGCCTTACCAGGCCCATAAACACTGTGGTGGAGGGATCTTTCAGACTTTCTTTTCTTCCAGGGGAGGGGAAATGGGCAACTTGATAGAAGCCATAGTCTTATGTAAAACAGATGCAACTGCTAGTAGCGCTGTTTATAGTTTTCTTGAATGCCTTACCAAACAGAGTACCCCAAAGATTTTGAATTCCAACCTGCTGACCATGGACAACGTGGTTCTGCAGCCCAGCACAGCATGTGCTGTACAGTGTCCTTGCAATTGTGGGCTGCATAATTATGTGAGAAGCGTGGTGAACACCTTATTTATTACCTGTAGTAAGACCGTAAGCTATTTAGTTGTGTTTTTCCTTTTCACTTAGTTTATTTTTTAAAGAAAACCACAAAGTAGTTTTATTGTACTGTTTCTCTTTTTAATAAAGTTTCACATATCATAAGATTGCAATTTTCATGTTTTTTTCCCTCTCAAAATTACAAATCCTGTTCAGCAGGGTCACTGCCACAGGGCCCACCATTCCCACCCCTCCGACCACTGTCCACACAGCCCACCATTCCCACCCCTCTGACCACTGTCCACACAGCCCACCATTCCCGCCCCCTCCGACCACTGTCCACACAGCCCACCATTCCCACCCCTCCGACCACTGTCCACACAGCTGCTGTCATGTTTGTCCTGATTAATATCCTTCACCAGCTTTCAATTTCACTTTAGTAACTCCAGACCCCTTGCCACACCTATGAGGTCCAGATTGGTGGGCCTGTGCCCACCTCTCCAACTTTTGCCACCATTCCCGCCCCCTCCGACCACTGTCCACACAGCCCACCATTCCCACCCCTCCGACCACTGTCCACACAGCTGCTGTCATGTTTGTCCTGATTAATATCCTTCACCAGCTTTCAATTTCACTTTAGTAACTCCAGACCCCTTGCCACACCTATGAGGTCCAGATTGGTGGGCCTGTGCCCACCTCTCCAACTTTTGGGATTCCTCTCTAGCTTTTGTCTGCTCCTACATCTGGTAGTTTTCTCCTGCCCCAGGGCCTTTGCACATCTCCCCTCTAAGCCAGGAGTTCTCTCCCTCTTCTCCCTCTCCAGCATCCCATTCTCTTTAGCCTTCCTACTTCCCACATGAGCTCCCCAGATCCCTTCTCCCAAGTGGGCCTCTATTTCCCATATCCACAATTTGAGGCACTTAGGGACGTAATTTTATGTCTGCTAGCTTTTGCCTGCATTTTTGACTGACATGTACACTCCCTGGATGCAAGAACTATTGATCTGCCTGCTGCATCCCAGTGCAGATGTTTATGCAGGTACAGAGTCGCTCAGCAAATACTTCTCCAGTGAACACATGAATATATAACCAGGGCAGGCAGTCTGGCGAGCTTCACTGTTTTGGTTGCTAAAGATCTCATAATCAAATGTCAAGGGTTTCAAGCAAGCAAAACAGAATTCTGGGAGCACGACTGCAAGCCCACGCCCTGCCTAGGCTCCCTTTTAGCAAAGGGATGGGGTGGGGCAGAATTGACATCATTTAATTCCCGAGAGTGCCGTATAACTATCAGAAAGCAATGCCATCAAAAAGCAAACCAAAATAAGTGAAGTTTGAGAAGCTGCAACAGTCAAGAGAGCTGAGGAGACCTGGGGGCTTGACAGGGTGCCCTGTGCTGCCTAAGCCCAAGCAGGACATTCAGCAAAACTAAGGAGATCTGAATCAATCGTAGACTTTCACTAATGCATCCAAAATGGGGGCTGGGGTGGTGGCTCAGTCCTCAGATGTGAGGACCTGGGTTCAGAGCTCCAGAACACACAGAAAGCCAGACCTGGTGCACATGCCTGTAATCCCAGCACTCTATGGCAAGATGGGAGGTGGAAACAGGAGGATCCCTGGAGGATCACAGGCCAGTGAGCCTGCTGTGTGCAGTGGTGAGTGGAAATGCTGTCCCAATCAAGGTGGAGGGTGAATATGGGGTGCGCAGGGATCCTGGGGCGCCCGCTGCTAGCATGGCGCTGGTCCCCTCCGTGCACCTGGAGGGCGGCGGGTCCCACAGCACATCTGCACTGCGTTGCTGGCGGGCCCCTGCTTCTCCGCTGTGGGTCTCTGCTACTGAGGCTGACTCGGTCTAGTTTCGCCCCAATTTCACCCGTGCACTCTCTCTCTAAGTTCGGTGCCCGTCAGCTGCAGGGTCACGAGGAGAGGTGCCAGACGGCCAAAGCTGGATTTCCGTGAGTCGATGACGGAAGGACAGCGCCCCTCGGGAAGACTGGATCATAGGCAATAAGACACGGGACTCAGCTTAGTCCATGTTACAGCTCTTTATTCAGTGACTCAGCTCGGCTCCAAGTCTTGGTGATCCAGCTCCAATTACTGAGGAAAAAACAGGACACTTTATATCATGGGGTTGGTAGTAAAAACCTTAACTGATAGGTACTTTTAGGATACCCCATTTACATGTGGCGGTAAGCTCCTGCCAGCCTGCCAGACTGCCTGAAAAATCACACGGGAAAGCCTGGCATTTCCAGAGCTGGAGGCCATGTTTCTGTGGCGGCTACTTCAAAAGACGAGTCAGGAAGATGCCAGGAAAGCATCCTGCTGAAAAAGGAGTCTCTGCATTTGAATCCGAGCCCGTGGGCTTTCTGGACATGAAGAGACTGCTACTTTACACAAGGGTCCCCAACAGGTGACGACACCTGAGTTTGTCATCTGACCTCTAAACATGCACCACCGGGGTCCTCTACAAGAGCAGCCAGTGCGCTTAACCACTGAGCCATCTCTCCAGTCCCCATAGCAGTTTTTTAATTGTAGCAAATGTACGATTCTATTGTACGATAGCAAGTGTAGGAGGATTTGGATGCCAAGACAGGGGTATATGGGAAGTCTGACTCATTTAACCCACTTTTTCCATAAATCTGTAGACTGAAATTAAATTAAAATCTAGGGCTGAGGAGATGGCTCTGTTGATAAAGTACTTGCCACACAAGTGTGGGGATCTGAATTGGTAACCACAAAGCCAGGCATGGCAGGGTGCACCTGTAACTCCTAGAGCTGGAGAGGCAGAGACAGGCCCGTTGGCACTCGTCGGCCAAGTAGCCTTGCCAGTGAGTGAACTCCAGCTTCAGTGAGAGACCTTGTCTCAAAACAAGGTAGATATGGATAAAAGTAAATATCCAACACCAACCTCTGGTCTCCACACGCGCACCTCTCCACACACACACACATACATGCACTTGTGCACAAATACAGACATTAAATTTAAATTAAAAATCTATTTTGAGCCGGGTATGGTGGTACATCTCTTTAATCCCAGCACTTGGGAGGCAGAGGCAGGCAGATCTCTGTGAGTTCAAGGCCAGCCTGGTCTACATAGCAAGTTCCAGGCCAGCAGGGGCTACAGGGAGACCCTGTCTCAAAAAGACAAACAAAAGTCTATTTTGAAAAGAAGCAATGCTGCCCACATTTTAATTTGATACATTAAAGCCTGCAGTTGTTAATGACATATCAAATGCTAAAAGTGTCTATAGTTCAGGAGACATTGTAAAATATGTCGCCTGTGGGAGACAGGCTTGAGTCTAGGGCGATATGCAACTGTCAGGGTCACATGGTTTCCAGGAATCCAGGCTCTGTAATCTGAAACCCGGTGTGCTAATGAGGCATCCTACCCTCTGTTCTGTGATAGGACATTAAGTCTGTTATGCTAATAAGGTATCCTACTTGCTGTGCTGTGATTGGACTACTACCCCTATATAAGCTTGTGCCTTCCTGCAATAAAGCAGACCTGTGTCACTGAACCTGGTCTCCTGTGGGACCAGGCAGAAGCAGCAGCGACAGGAGGCAGCACAGGGCAAGCAGAAGAACTGCCTCAGCACCAGGCGAAGAGCGGCCTCAGCCCAGGGCAGGCAGAAGAGCGGCCTCAGCTCAGGGCAGGCAGAAGAGCGGCCAGTGAGAAGAGCAGCCTCAGCCCAGGGCAGGCAGAAGAGCGGCCTCAGCTCAGGGCAGGCAGAAGAGCGGCCAGTGAGAAGAGCAGCCTCAGCCCAGGGCAGGCAGAAGAGCGGCCTCAGCTCAGGGCAGGCAGAAGAGCGGCCAGTGAGAAGAGCAGCCTCAGCCCAGGGCAGGCAGAAGAGCGGCCTCAGCTCAGGGCAGACAGAAGAGCGGCCTCAGCCCAGGGCGAGCACAGGAGCAGCCTTGACGCCCGTGAGAATGAAGGAGTGGCACCCACGAGAATGGAGGCGCAGCCGCCGCTGGCGGTGACTGCAGTCGCCCTTGGGTATTGTTTTTTATTCTTTTTGAGGGGTTTGTGAGCGAGGGTATCACATAGACCAGGTTGCCTGGAACTCACCATGCAGTCAAGGGTGACCCTGAACTCCTGATCCTCCTGCCTCCGCCTCCCAAGTATTGGGATAAGTGTGCATCATCATAACCAGCCCCCCCACCTCCAGTATCCCATCTGATTCTCAGGGAACCACTGAAGGAAACCTATAGTATCATCCTTATTTGTGAGAAAACAGGATCTCTAGTGATCACACTTGGTCACACAGCAAGTCATCCAGGCACTAAGCTCAAGTGTTTGCTTCTGTTTCCTCCCAAGTATGTTGGCATGGGTCAGATGTTTTGTGCAGTAGTAAAAACGGCTCCCTAAAGCTTGGCATGGTGGCGCATGCCTTTAATCCCAGCACTAGGGAGGAAGAGGCAGTTAGATCACTGTGAGATTAAGGCCAACCTGGTCTACACAGGCCAACTGGGGCTACAGGGAGACCCCAAAAAAAGAGTGGGCTTCCCTGAACCATCATGCCCTGGTCTCCACTTTTTGCTCTGCAAAGCCATCAGTCTGGGGCCTAATTTACTTCTGATGTTCGAAATGGGGGAAGCCTCTGCCTTTACCTCTCCACCTCAGCTCTGTCTTCAATCCAGGCGACATGCAGGGCACAGTGATTCTTTTTATATTTCCCTCTAAACACACACCAATGCTCACTGAAAACTGCCCAGACGCCTGCCCCAGGCCCCCCTTCGCCTTTGACTCCCTTCCTTCTGTGTTCCCCACACTAGTGTCAGGTGTCCCTTCTTCCCAACTCCTGACAGGGTCCCTTCCTTGTCTCTGTTCTAAATTCAGCAAACATAGACTGATGTCTTAATGAATGCCCCAAACTGCTAGGAGCAAGGACACTTCACAAAACTGCTGAGACTCAGCCTAGATCCTCAGGTGCACAGCCCAGCATCACCCAGCAGGGTGAGCTCAGCGCTGAGTAGGGAGGAAAGCAACAGGGAGTGACCAACTCATTCCAACTGGGGGTCCCAGAGGGCTTCCCAAAGGAGCCCTGAGTTGATCTTGACAGGAAGAGAAGGCAACTGCATCTGTGACGGACTGGGGCGCGCACACCCTAACTCTGCCTGCCCCAAACTGACGTATCCCTTCCAAGCTGCACTCACCAGCTCGGACCACAAACCTTGAGACTAAAAGACAAATGAGTGTAAATTGGGTCATTAAAAAAATTCAAAATGGGGGGCTGGAGTGATAACTTGGCATGTAAGAGCACTGACTGCTCTTAAAGAAGTCCCAGGTTCAAATCTCAACACCCACATGATAGCTAACAACTGTTCGATTTCTGGAAAATAAAAAGAAAGATAGAAAAGTAGGAGACAAGGAACCAGCCAGACCTGCCACAGGCGAGGACTAGACCTTCCTTTATACAAAGATGGCACAGTGAGAGGTGGAGGCTGCCGCGAGAACCAGGCTTCTACAACTAGACAGAAAAGCGGAGGGGAGGTTATACTGGGGCTGTGGGACGCAGCTGCAGTTAGTGGGGAGTTGAGTTAGTGCCCAGGCTTGGTGTCCTTGGAGTGATTGGGGGGGTCTCCTTCTCAAGATTATTTCCCTGGAAACTGGCAGGAGTGTTATCTATGGCCCTAGAGCGCAACAGGCAAGGACTGTATCTTCCTTTATTCAAAGAAGATACAGTGAGAGGTAGAGGCTGTCTGCGGGAACCAAGCATCTACAACTAGACAAAGAAAAGGGGGGGGGAGGTTATACTGGGGTTGTGAGACACAGCTGCACTTTGTGGGGAGTTGAATTAGTGCCCAGGTTTGGTGGCCTTGAGGGTCTCTTTTCTCAGACAGACAGATGAGTTAGCTATGGCACTAAAGGAGGCAGGTGGGCTCCACAAACACTTTCTCTCAGGCTTGGGAGTGACCAACTGATAAGGGGTGAGCAGAGCCAGGCTTGAGCAAGGCCAGGCTGCCAATTTAGGGCCAGTTAGACACTTCAAGGGATTTATGGCTTTCCCTAATGAGGCTTGTGGCTCTTCTGCAATTCACACATTGTATCAACAACCATCCTTAACTCCAGTTCCAGAGGATCCCACGCCTTCTTCTGACCTCTGTGGGCACTGCACAACACGGGTGTACCTACCCATGTGCAGGCAATACGCTCACATACATAAAATAAAAATAATAAATAAAATTAAAAAATTCAAGGTGATATTTGTTTAGATTCTGATTGAATAAAATTAATTAAAATACTATGTGCTAAGCATGTGTTGAGTATTGGAGATAAAAGTGGCCCCATCTTCATGATGGGGACCATATAGGGGGACATATATGAAATAAGTGGACAGTTAGCAAACAATTGCTGAGTTGTAACGGTGATTGCTAAGAAGGAAAAACAGAAACTGTAAGAGCAACTTCACACTATGTGGCTATGCCTAAGTCTACAAGCACAATCTTCAAAGGCTCAGTCCCCTCAGAACACTGGTTGGATCATTCCCTACTGTCCTCCACTTCCTGGAGGGGCTCAGAAGCAGCTGTGCAGCTCCCCACACCCCGGCCCCACCGGGAGGCACTCTGCTGGGAAGCCAGGGAAGGTTGCACACAGCTCTGACCCCTCGGCACCTGTCCCTGCCGCAGAGCCCCAGGAAAGGTCGAAGGCCCAGCCCTGCCACACACTGTCAACACCGCTGGGTTATCACAACCGCTTTACAGCACCGGGTTCCATGGAAGCTTTTCCAGATCCGTGTAACTGGATTGCACAGGGTAGGTGAGCAGGGGCGCAGTTCTGCTGCCGAGCGCTCGCCTAGCACAGGAGCCATCTGCAGCATCACACGTGCACACTATGGTGGGCAAAGCAGAAAAGGGGGCTAGCCTGTGCCAGAGGAGGGGGCTGGCCCGTCCGGGGAGGGCTGCTGGCAGAAATGACTGCAAGCACAGCACCCACGTGCCAGGAGTAGGGGAGCAGGGAGGGAGGCCGCGGGGTGTGGCGATGCGCACCGGGTCCTGTAGGGTCGCCGTGCGGCCGCGCCCACCCTGCAGCGTCAGCGCGCTTCCGGAAGCCGCTCGCCCCTGGGAACCGGGTTCCAGGAAAGGTTCCGGAAGAGCTGCGCGCGGCGAGCTGAGCGCCGACCCGCGGGGCGGCCGTGGTCGCCGACGCGCGCTTTGTTCCCGCCGCTCGTCGCCCCGCGAGCGAAGAGGCCGGAGCCCGGTGCAGCGCCCGGGGAGTCGCGGGCCGAGCGCACGCCGCCGTCTGCGGCCCCAGCACCGGGTCCGGGTGCCCTTCGGGGCCCGCGGCCGAGGATGCGGGGGACCCCGCGCAGGGAAAGCGGAAGTCGCGCGCCCGGGCGCTGACCGCGAGGACTCTGCACCTCGGCCCGGCTGCGCGCGCTCCTGCCCTCGGCCGCCCGGACCCGGCGCGATGGCCATCGCCCACCTGGCCACCGAGTACGTGTTCTCAGACTTCCTGCTGAAGGAACCCACCGAGCCCAAGTTCAAGGGGCTGCGGCTGGAGCTGGCGGTGGACAAGATGGTCACGTGCATCGCTGTGGGGCTGCCTCTGCTGCTCATCTCGCTGGCCTTCGCGCAGGAGATCTCAATCGGTGAGGCGGGGGTGCAGGGCCCGGCCGGCGCGGTCTGGGGCTGGCACGGTCTGGGCCGGCGCGGTCTGGGGATGGCAGGGTCTGGGCCGGCGCGGTCTGGGGCTGGCACGGTCTGGGCCGGCGCGGTCTGGGGATGGCAGGGTCTCGGCTCGCCCTCAAAGTGCTTGTTGCGGTCTTGGGCCTGAAGGCTTGCAGGAAAGGTGGTCCCCACTTGACGGTCTGCATCCTGCTTCCCCTGTTGACCCTCCTAGAATCCTTCCCCCCAGTTCCTTTTATCTCCTGCGCCCCACCGGTGGGACTGTGGCTTGGAGCTCATGTTCCTGTATTATCACCCGACATGCCCCCCACTTTCCACTCCTCTGCCAGTTACGGTGGGGTCACCTAAAATTTGGTACCAAAGAAGTTCCTAGTGGCTGCAGGGAGGGTGTGAAAACAGGGGCTCAGTGGAAAGTGTTCTTTCACTGGCTGGCATTTAATTGGTATTTACTTTAGTTCTAACAGAGAGTTGAGTGATGGGGAAACTGCTTGGAGGTTAGAGCTGTCCTCTACCTGGACAGCCTTGCTGTGAATGGAAGATGGAAAGATGACCACATCCCTTCCTGTAAACGCTGAGAGATTCCCAAGCCTGGGGTTTTCAGGCGCATGAGGCTGAGTGGGTGGCCTTCAGCCATCAGCTGCCTGACAGCACAGGAGTGCGTGTGTGCGTGTGTGTGTGTGTGTGTGTGTGTGTGTGTCACAGGAAGGTAGTGTGGGGGGCAAAAGACAGCTGTGGGTGGGGCAGGGCCTTGGAGAATGCCTGTCGGGGTGGGTGGGGTGCCGATAAGCTCCCAAGAGACTCTTGCCAAGATTCAGGTGTCAGATTTACATGTTTCTGGAAGGGAAGACACGGGCTGTGCTAGGCCAGAGCAGGAAGTTCCTCTGGTCCTGGTCCTCTGAAAGCTGAGGGAATATGGGCCAGATTACTACAGAGCAGTCCTCACTGACCCACCTGGAGGGGAGCTACTGACAGAGCAGACAGACTGGTTGACAACAGCACTTAAATGACAGTGTAACGGAGGCACACAGGGCTGGAATGGAGGAGAGGCAGCAGAGTCGCGAAGGCAGATGCCCTGCGTTCTCAGGTCCTGTGCTGTGATGAGTGACGAGGAAGGGCCCTTTGAGATTGGGGGGGGGCAGCAGGAAGCCCCCTGGGAACCTCAATTTTAACGGGGCGCAGAGCAAAGAGGTTGGCCTTGTTACCCAGGCTGTATGCTGGTGAGTGGAGGTGTTGCTGATGGGAAATTGAGGGAAAATTTGTTAGAAAAGCATTGCGGTAGGAGTGAGTCTCACACCTGGGACTGAGGGGGTCATTGTGGCAGGAAGTTGCCGGCCATGGACAGTGAGCTTTCGGTTTTCCTAGTCCCTGCCAGGCATGGTCATGGCATGTCCTTGGCTTTCTAAATGACAGGGGATTGCAGTTTCTGTCTGAAAGGAAAACCACACGGTCTCGTGGGTGCTGGAGATAGTCTCTGCCTTCCAGCTGTGCTGAACCAAGTGCCAAGCACCAAGGATTGGGAATAAATGAGGTGGACTCCCTGTCCTGGACAAGGAAGTTTTGCACAGCTGGTGGGGGCAGAGGGCCAGGAGGAGGAGCCAAGCTGATCTCCTTGCCCAAAGTCCACCTTCTAGAAGGACCTCTGAGGTACCTGCCTCCATAGTTCCTTAAGGTCTAGATGGATGCGCCGCCCAGAGGCAGTTTTGGGGGCACGGGGTGCAATCAGTCAGCACACACTGTGTGCTCAGCACGGCTGTACCTGTGGAGGGTGGTAAAGAATCCCTGCTCTGTAGTTTACTCTCCAGCTGAGCACCAGAATGGTCAGCTAGCAGGTGCTGTCATGCTGTGGTGGATGCTGCCAGGACAAGGCAAAGGGAACTTGGGTGAACTCCCAGGCAGATGTCTGTCTTCTGAAGGACTTGGGAGTTCCAAGGGGAAGGACAGACATGTGGGATGGAACACAGAAGTCCTAGGAGAAAGGCATTAGTGAGGGGGGAAGTGGTACTCAAATCCATACATGCAGTTGGAACAGCAGAAGTCAATACACAGCAGTTTACTTTGTGCCCTTTAGCTGTGCGCCCTCAGCCAAGAGGAAAACAAAACAACAAAGTGAATTGTAAAGCCAAAGAGATGTAGACATCCTTAAATGGAGCAGGCCCTTCGCCCACCACACTGGCCAGGGAGCATGGCCCCAGGTGTGTGGTCTAGGACATGGCAGCCCCAAGCACAACTCTGACCTCTTCTGGCCCTTACCCCTCCCTCTCTGCTGTCTGGGATCCTCTTGTCCCACTGTGCACATAGCATTATAGCCTGTCCATGTGGCTGCCCCTCCTACTAGGTACTTAAGCTTTTATTGATCCCTAAAAGCTGGAGTCTTGTACAGCATATCAGAAGCCCCTCTACAAACGTTTGTTGATTGAACAAAAGTTGATTGCTTTGGGCATCGTCAGGTGTTAATGAAGCAGGTGTGCACCATGTTGCTCCTTGACAGCAGAGTGTATGAGTGTACTGCCTGCATGTATGCAAGTGCACCCGTGTCATGCAGTGCCCACAGTGGTCAGAAGAGGGCATCAAATTCCCCTGGAACTGGAGTTACAGATGGTTGTTAGCTGCCATGTGAGTGCTGGGATACAAACATGGGTCCTCTGCAAGGATAGCCAATGCTCTTAACTGATGAACCATCTCTCCAGCCCCATTTTTTGTTGTTTTTAAGTTTTTTGTTTTTCGTTTTTTGTCAAGAATGCATACTCGGGGCTGGTAAGATGGCTCAACAGGTAAAGGCATTTGCCCCTGAGCCTGACAGCCTTGAGTTTAATCCCTGAGACCCACAGAGTGTCAGGAGAGGACCAACTCTTAGGGGTTGTACTCTGACCTCTACACATGTACCCACACAGATGCTTGCCCCCCACAGGCATAAACACATGTAGAAAAGTTTCCAAGAGAGAATGCCTGGTCTGTGGATTTCAGCTCCATTATTAGAATCCCGTCTCATCCTCACAGAAGAGCATCCATTTACTTTTTTTCTAATTGTTTTCAGTGATTTTACTTAACATTTACCACGTGGTCTTTTGTTCTTTCAGTGGGTTGTCAAGACTGTTAGTGATCACACTCAGTGTCACTTATTGCGGAACCTGGGCCTTATATCCATCAATCTATGATGATTTCCCTGTTATACTTAACACCATGTAGTGGAGTGTGGGAATCTGTTTTGGGCTGTTTGTATTGTTCTGCATGTAGAGCCATTATTTTTTATAAAGTACTTGACCACGCTGGGTGTGGTGTGACACGTGCATTTAATCCCAACACTCTGGAGCAGAGGCAGGTAGAGCTCTCTGAGTTCCAGGACAGTGTGGTCTACACAGCACATTTCAGGCCAGACCCTGACCATTCTACTATAGGTTGTATGCTGGTTTGTTGAGTGCATTTCCACATCAGCATCACACGCTGGGAAAATGAAGCTCAGTAGCTCAGGTGCCTGGTTCAGCTGTGGCACCGCCTGGATCATCCCTCAGTGAATGAAGTACCTGAGAGCCCGCTGAGGTCCCGGGAGAGGACTTTCATCAGCAGATCTGTACTGGGACTGGACATCTTTTTATAGTGATGAGAAATACTTTTTAAATTTTCCTTCAACATTTTCTGTCATATTTTTTTCTTTTACATGCAAACACCATCACAGCTGGTTGGAGTCCTCTCCTGAGACAAAAATCACATGGAGGCTGAAAGGAAGTGTTTGTTTTTTGTTTTTTTTTAATGTTTTATTATTTTTATTTTATGTGTATGAGTGTTTTGCCTGCATGTATGTAATTGCTCCCGTGTTGTGCAGTGCCTATGGCGATCAGAAGAGGGTGTTGGATCCCCTGGAACTGGAGTTATAGATGGTTGTTAGTCTCCATGTGTGTGCTGGGAATTGAACCCAGGTCCTCTGCAAGAGCAACCAGTTTTCTAACTGCTGAGCCATCGCTCCAGCCCCTGTGATAAATTATCTCTGCATCTCAGGGCATCATTAAGTGTGCCAACTATTCTTCTGTTTTTTGTAGTGCTGGGGATCTAGGCAAGCACTTTACTTCTGAACCACTTCCCAGCCCCCACCCCCTTTTTCCAGTATTGTAATCGTAGTTGTGGGTTACCACTGTGGGTATCACCACCATCGGCCATATTAAATCTTGGATGGGTCAGATAAACTAGCAGTTCTTTGAGGAAAATTACAATTTCCAGATTGTGGCATAAAAATGAGCAGGCAGTACATGGGCTTGGTGAGTGCCTGCGCGCCCTGCTCTGACCCCAAGTCAGGGTCCACCAGTGTGCTGTTGCACTGCCAAAGACTCCAAGTGTGAAGACTGCCTGGGTGTGAGGACTTCCTGGGTGTGAGGACTCTCCCTGTGTGAAGACTCCCTAGGTGTGAAGACTCCTCTCACAGTGTGAAGACTCCCTGGGTGTGAAGACTCTCCCAGTGTGAAGACAACTCTCCTGTTGTGAAGACTCCCCTCCTGGTGTGAAGACTTGGACTCTCCCGGTGTGAGGACTCTCCCTGTGTGAAGACTCCCTAGGTGTGAAGACTCCTCTCACAGTGTGAAGACTCCCTGGGTGTGAAGACTCTCCCAGTGTGAAGACAACTCTCCTGTTGTGAAGACTTGGACTCTCCCGGTGTGAGGACTCTCCGGGTATGAAGACTCCTCTCCCAGTGTGAAGACTCCTGGTGTGCGTTCCTCCTAGCAGGGCTGGTGACACACCATGGATGACTCAATTTATTGGGTGCTTACAAGGAACCTGGGTGGGGTTTCTTACCAGTGCAGGCACTGTACTCAGGTGAGCAGATCCTGCATGGGTGACTCCTCACAAAAGCAGCGCCCCTGGAGTTCCCAGCTCAGCTTGCTTTCAGCAGCTCCAAGGAGAGCCTCCCCAGCAGCCCCTACGGTGGTGGCTTTATGCCAAGTTCCCTGACTCCCAGCCCTGCCTCTGAAAGGGA